AAAATATAACAGCCCAATCCCACTGCTAACAAACGTAACGTGTCTGCTAGAGAGGTTTCTACACTCTTATAAAAAATGTTTTCTTCTCCCCTCCAATCGATGTAGGATCTCACAATTTACCTTCCTTGGAGGCTCAGCGTCCATGCTGGCACACCACCTCTGGGTTTTCTCTTCCGGGCTTCCCCTCAAGGTCTTTAAAACGTGTCTGCTAGGGAGCGGTTTCCACATCCTTATAAAGAATGCTTCATTCCCCTCTTCAATTGATATGGGATCTCACAATCCACTCCCTTTGGAGTCAGCATTCTTGCTGCACTCGTTCCCCTCTCCAATCAATGTAGATTGATTGTGCTTACCTATATTTACATGAACATCGTCGTCAACTTTGACATAGAAATCCGCATCCCACAACGCAACTGCTGTAGCAAAGTAAATCTTTGTCTTGGCAGACAATTCAAGGTAGCCTTCAACATGGTCCTGAGTAGATAACATGATACACTTCAAGATTTTCACTTATGAGAAATGGAAGGTTTTTAAGAATGCTTATCGTTACCAGTCTAAGGAAATCTCCATGCTTCTTGTCCTCTGCTTCAATAGCTCTGTCAAGAATGCCTCCAGATGTGGCACTGATCATCAAGAAGAACCTCATTCAAAATCTTGTTGCTAACACTTGTCACCAAATGAAAGAAGATCACATACATACCTATGGCCAATGACAAAGCGAATTATAATCCCCTTCTCCTCCTCTAGTTTCTTTCTCTTTTCACCTGTTTTTCAAGTTTCAAGTAAGAACAAATGAACATACAAACATGGTTTGTTTCAGAAAAAGAATCATCACGAGCTACTTAACCTTGAGGCATCCATGTCGCACGAACCGAATCTCGTCGTTTCCTGCTACTAAAAGCAGTATTGATCCCTACAACCATTAAGTATCTTCTCTTCCCAGATGACTGAGTATTCTTTAGATCATCAGACGACGGCGAACCGTTCTGTATAGACTCCTGAGCTGCTTTGGCAGCAGCCAATTCCATCTCCAAATTTGAAATGGTCTTATCTAATGTTCTGTAGAGAACAACGTTAATGTAAATTTGCAGTTTGGATTCTTCATAATATGTTCATAACTTTTGGCTTTCACTCACTGTATAGCATTGTGAGTCTTAAAGACTTCTCCAAAAATGTCCTTTGACACACGCTTTACTTCCTTCTCATCCAACTAGAACACACAAACAGATCAAAAAAAGCAGCAATGGACACACAAGTTATGAAAACAGCGTTGAATATGCTTACCAATTTTGGATCACATCCTTCTGAAACTAGCTTTAACTTTTCGGCTTCAAAGGCCGTTGTTCTAGTGATCCCTTTAGGTTCTGGAACAGTCCACATCCTGCAAGCAATTTCAAAGTGATCTTCAGTTCTTTTGACTTTTAAGAACATCCATATCAGAATCTGTTTCTTTATAAAAAAAAAACCCGACAGAGCTGAATCTTAAGCTTCTCGAAACAGACCTCTTTTTGTCCCGTAATTGACTGTGGGTGCTATGAGAATACTCATGATTACAATGAAATCAAACCCATAAATCCGAAAACAGTCCAAGTTTTGGGGATTAAAGTTGGGAAATGAATGGCAGATCTTGATTCATTGAAGAAATGGTGGAAGGAAACAGTTTTTCAAACACGAGACCCAATAAGAAGAAGAAGGACAAAAGATTTCTCTCAAGGCCATAACTGCTAGTAATGAATTTTTCAGAATAGATGCCTTTGATCAAATGTTTGAAAGCGACCAACGAAAATACACAAAAGCAATAACATAAATACTGTCGGCTGCATTTAATAAACGGAAAATGGGCAATGTTTCCCCAATAAACACAGACCCAGAAACAGAACAGCCAAATTAGAACCAAAAACCTCCGAATCCAAGAAAAACATTTCATTCATCGATCAAAATCCACTGCTGCGATTAGAACTCGGATAAGAACAAAACCCCATCAAATTTTCAACGTACCTCAGCAGAAATTTACAGAAAATTTGAAGAAAAGGATGGATACGAACCTGTTGGTGAAGATCAACCCCAAACAGAAGCTGCCCAAGCAAAGAAGAACCACCCATCTCTGCGAAACGACGCTTCGTGAAGATTGTTCGGGCTTAATTTTCCAGGACATCTTCTGCCCAGATGGTGTTTATGCTGCCCCTAACAACTTCTATCAACAAAACACCATAAGCATTGAATCAAACAGACCCAGTTGCAAGAATTTGAGGAACAGGGAAATTAGCAATAGAACGAGATTTGAATCACAGGATTCAGAAAAGAAAAGATTGTTTCTATGTTCTTCAACTCTCTCTCTTCCACTCAGTAGAACTTCCCTGCAAGCTAAGGCAGTTGAGGAGAAGTGAGGGGCAGAGAAGGAAGGGGGGGAAGACGCATCAACTAACCTCTTACTTAATACCAAACCACCAAACTGTTTGAAAAAGTGACATAAATACCCTTTGTCAGCTCTTCAAATTTTGAAAATTATTTCTTACATTAAAAAAAAAAAAAAAAAAGGTCTGCAGAGGGGGCTCAGTTCCCATCAATCATGGCGCCATGGAGATCATGTGGTACCATGTTCTTTCAAATTACATGCTCTTTTATTATTATTATTATTATTTATTAACTTTGGAATGCAAAGAATCTAATCTCAAAGATGAAAGAAAGATGCAAATTTTAGTATGAATGTTTGTGAGTACACAACATATATCTCAAATTTACCTAACAAATTCATTCCCAAATTTTGTCTCCATTTATGTTGAGCGGGTATTACCTCGTATAGAATTGAAAAACTCATGTAATATTTAATATATTATATAAATTATGTTACTATAAACTCGAAAGTCACTTTTTCGGTGGCTCAATAATAAGAATTCCAAAGTTAAGTGTGTTTTGCTTAGAATAATTCTATGTTGAATGATCTCCTGAGAATTTTTCTAGATTTACGTGAGTGAGGACAATGTCGACAAACAAATGCTGAGTTTATAATTTGAATTCCAGGTATGTTTCGTTACATTTATTTTTTTAAATTATTTGTATGTAAAAAATTCAATTTTAGGGAACTATATTTTTAAATGATTAGATTCACGTCTTCAAAGGGTTCTTAAAATGAAATAAGAGTTGATTTGAGGAAAAATTCATGTACCTAACCATTAAAAGAAATTATTGTTTGAGAAATAGTGTATTGTTTCGAACTTAAATTAGATTATTTGATTTTATAATTAAATATTAAATAAAAATCAAACTCGATTCAAATTAAATATAAATTAGGGTGTTTTTTAAGATAACAATGAGAGATACTTTAGACCAAATTTGTGTGGCGTATAATAAGATTCAAAATTCTAAACATTAGAGTTTCATATTTCAAATAAATAATCAAAGTATAGAATTATAAAGTTGTGTGGGGACAACCAAACAAAAGGTAAAAACTAGAAGCTTGGCCAACAAAATAGTAGAAAAATCCTTTTACCAACAAAAGAAAAAAAAAAAATTGTGAATGCATATAAACTTTTAATTTTATATCTAATAAATTATTAAAATTTTAAAAATAAAATTCTAATGATAAATCTTTTGTATATATAAGTGAAAAAGATAAAAAAAAAATGTAAAAAGAGTTTTAGAAAAATAAACGACCTACTGTCACTACTCATTGTAAATAGTTTAGTGCTATTTTTGTTGGATGTATGAATTTATTGAACACAATTTTTCTTTTTGGAGTTCAATAAATGCAAGAAGATCGATATCTTGAATTAACCATTAAACATTAAAAATTAAGAAAATGCACGTGGCATAGGGTTAAAGAAAAGAAACGTGGCAGATGATAATTGGGTGGAAATAAAAAAAAAAAAAAAAGCTACAATGGACCATTCAAGTACAAGGAATCACGTGACATGTCGCCCCTCGGTCACGTGGATGCTGCCAAAGTTTCAGCTAGAGATCTCCCCCATCTTATAAGCAAGCTGACACGTGTCATTATTCGAAGGAATTATACAGGGGCCATCCTCTCTGGCTTTCACGAACCCATTTTTTAAATAATTTATAATTCTCTCTCTGTTTCAGAATTTTATACCCAAAATTATTATTATTATTATTGTTATTATTTATTTTCCTTTTTTTTTTCTTTGTATATTTTTAATGGATAAATATTGTTGGATTTCCCTCCATCATCAATTAATCAAATTAGTTTATGTTTATATCTTATTATTAGAAAAAATGGATATTAAACAATTCTTTTCGTATTTTGCATTGATTCTTTTGGATGTCGCGCTTTTGTTGGTCGGTTTTGCATAATCGAGAAATTTTACTATAATTATTCAATTATGGTTATTCCATTTTTATTAATAAATTTCTAATTTGTCTTATTATTATTTAATAAACCTTGTTTTATCGTTGTCACCGACTTTTTTTTTTTAAAAAATGTAAAACAAATATATTTGTGTGCATTTGAATTGTTTAATTTTTTTAGAATAGATTCAAATCTAGCAAAACTGGGCTAAATAGCACAAAAGCGAAAATAATACAATTCCATAAGTAAAATGTGATAAACTTAAAACAAAACAAACTCATCGTACTAAAAGTAGAATGTAAAATAATACAATTTCATACGATGACTTAAGTTTCATACATATTTCCATATAATTTGATTAGATAATGTGTTCGGTCTTTAAACTTAAGATCGTGTTTTATAAAACTCTAATACGTTATTGTAAAATCCCATATTGATTGGAGAGGGAAATAAGTGTCAAAAAAGACGTTGGGTCTCGACGGGGGTGGATGGTGAGAACCCACGTCGGTTGGAGAGGGGAATGAAACATTTTTTTATAAAAGTGTAGAAACTTCTCTCTAACAGACGCGTTTTAAAAACTTGAGGGAAAATCCGAAAGAAAAAGTCCAAAGAGGATAATATCTACGGATGGTAGACTTGAACTGTTACAATTATACTACGGGATAACTACGAGAAGTAGAGGATGATTAAAATCATGTTGCTAAGAAACCTCCCATACAACTCCATAATCTGAAGCAAAGGAGGGAATTAAGAATCCTGCAAAATTGGTTCGCAAGTTTAGGAGAAACCAATGGCTGTTTGGAAGAGAAGAAGAGTGTGGTGTGGTGTAGCATAGCGGAAAGAAAGATGCCTATCTTGCAATGGCAGTTTTGGTTTTACTTTAGAAAACTTGACCAGCAACCCAAGGCTGCCATTTTCCAGCACCCACTCTCATTGCTTACGCCTTCTCTGCACACCCACCTACCCTTTCTCAGGCACCAACCCATATTAAGTTACCTATTTCTAAGCCTCTGCCTTTCCACTTTTTCTTCGTCTCTTACTCCTGGCTTGGATCTTAGAGATTTTGTCAGTTTGTAATAAGTGTTGATAACATAACAACAGAGGCAAGATTCTTGGTAACTTTTTTAATCATTTTTGTTTTACTGTTTGGTAAGATCTGAATTTTCATATGCAGCCAAGTTGTTTTGTAAATGATATCCAATCAGGATTAAGAAGAATGATGGCTTCTCCCACCATTTCTTCTTAGTTGCTTTACCACGCAAATATCTGGTTCTTGTGGATTTATTAGATTAACTTTCAATGATAGCCACTAGTTTTTGTCAATCGACAACTTAATTAACAGTTCTTCTGTAGGGTATGCTTCTTGAAACACCAATACAGAGTGAATTTATTGAATCAAACAAATTTGGACCCATTTGGCTCATGATTGGAAAAGATTTTTATTTCATACCTTCTTCATTTTAACTACATGCCTTATAACTGCACTATTTGAATCAGAGAAAGTGATTTTTTAGGACATATATGGATTAGGGAACAACAATAGGGCCACACAACGCACGAGCGTAGGCCCCCAACACAAAGGCAAAGGCCATTTCAATTCTTGCCGACAACCATGTGCCTTCCTTTCTACATCCCTTCTTCTAACTCTCACCTCCCATATGCCTTTCCATCTCACACTCTCTTTATAATCATATGTTTCCTACGTCTTTTATATCCTAAGACTTAGGAATAATGTGTCAGAAGGCTTCATGTGGGAGTGGGACGGGGTGCCTTACCTACCATGATACCTATACACTTCTTCAATATATATGTTTTCTCAAAGATAGGCAAATTACAACTGGGAAATATTTATTAATGTAGGGAAACATATGAAGTGGTTTAATATGTTTTTGGCCTTTCAATACTTGATGAGTTTTGAAAGCTTGACTACGAGAAACCAAATTCATGGATCCAAAATCCTTGCCTCAGATTCTATCTTTAGATTTCTTCTTTTGGTTTGAAGATAATATCGATTAGTAGTAGGTTTGGACTGTTACAAATGGTATCAGAGTCAGATACCGGGCGATGTGTCAGCAAAGAAACTGGCCCCAAAGAGGGGTGGATTGTGAGATCCCACATCAATGGGAGAGGGGAATGAAACATTTCTTATAAGGGTGTGAAAACCTTTCCCTAGCGGATGCAGTTTAAAAACCTTGAGGGAAAGCTCGAAAGGGAAAGCCCAAAGAAGACAATATCTACTAGCGATGGATTTGAACCATTACATTCGATCTTTAGTCTCATAGTTTTTTTTATCCATCTATATTGCAATTTTGTCCACTGACTTTTAAAATATAATGACGCAAGTTTAAAATATTATGGACCAAAAAACTTGCATCATATATAAATAAAAATAATCAGAAGCTAGATTAATTAAAATAGTAATGTTTACCTGTATGAATGAGTCTTTGTTTAATTGGTTTGATGCTGACCTTGTCAATATCAACCTTAGAGAAGGATGGGTAATAATGTGTAGGGCAGTAGCCATCCTGTCAATGCATGTTTATAGATAGTGGATGTGATTAAATTAGCAATTGATTTAAAATCTAAATCTCTTACACCACATGATTGCTCAGATACTTGATCATCGAAAACAGGAGGCTGATCGTTTACCTGGAAGTGAGTGCAGACATGAACTCCATAAATAGTAGTTAAGCTCCATTGCACTATAAGCTATGCTAAACAATTTAAGAACACTTTGTCAAAAAGATGCCAATCCAAACATGGAGTTTGATAAGGAATAAGGGGAGTGAAAGGCTCACAAGAATGGGACAAAGACAAGGCCGCCATCTTAATCTTCAAATACAAAAGATCTGCACAAAGTTGAATAATAACTTCCTCAGCACAGAGAAGTTTAGATAACAAAAATATAACGTGCAACATCAAAATGGAGTGATTTTACTTGTGGGAATGAACCCAAAAACAATCTGCTAGTTCCTAGCTTAAAACGAGATGCTAGCATTGCATGCAACATGAGTACTTTTGCTAGTACTTCATATTACTCAACTCATTAGCAAGGGAAGCCGGTTAGGAATCACAGATCTCCACAATAGTATGATATTATCCACTTTGAGCATAAGCTCTCGTAGCTTAGTTTTAGGCTTCCCCAAAAGGCCTCATACCAATTGAGGAGTATTCCTTGTTTATAAACTCATGATCATTCCCTAAATTAACCAACGTTGGGACTCCTTCCCAACAATCCTCAACAAAGCCTTCTAACATCGAATGAAAAACAAGTTGAAAAATTTTCAGTGTCCACAAATCAGACCATATAATCTGAACATAACAACACAACTTAGATCAAGCAACTGGAGAAATCATTCAAAACAATTGTCTCCGTCTTTTCATATCAGTCAACAGTGCGACGAAATTTATATCAATATTTATTAAAGATGCAGTCTGAAGTATGATTTAAACCACCAGCAGTTAAGAAGTAAAACCAGAGTCCTAAATGTTCATGCTGTACAGCCGTTGATTTTCATGGTCAAAAGAGCTCAAATGATGATTAACATAGATATGCAAGCAGGGCTATGGAACCTATCACAAAACAAGTTATCAAGAGAAACGAGGTTTAACTAAAACATCTTACCATGTGAACTTGATTCCTTAAAGACAACAACAACAGGATATAAACAACTTCATCTCCCTTAACTAAAACATCTTATCACGAGAACCCCCATTGCAAAATCTTTTACAAAAATGGTGATTGAAGATTGACGAGAAGACAAATGATAGCCATTGATGAAGAATTATTACCATCGAGCACTGATCACTCCATCGCTAGCTGTTCAACAAAAACTATATACATAAAATCTTCCAGATTTCCATTCCCCTATATCATGTTGCACCATGGAAAATATCAGCTTAAGAAGCCCTGAAACCAACTTTTCCGAGACAAACAATGATAAATACAATTAAAAACTTGAATTATAGCTGCTTATCACACCATTCCATCGGTAAACATTCCATTTGGTACTAATAACAACACAGTTTCAGCAGCTAAACTCAATATCATATTTGAAATAGGATAACGGGCAATCTCTACCTTTATTCATATTGAGCTTCAAGTGTTTGAACGCAGAATAAGAATTGTCAGCCAAGACACGTTTTAAATGCGTACTGAGGCTTGTGATCGTCATCTCGTAAATAACACGAACTACGAACGCTCCTTCGCTCCCTGCGCCGTCCGACAGTAAATAAAATTGTAAGCGCTGCGAAAGACGCAACAAAATAGAGCGATTTTGACCTTGAGTTGAAGTTCCATTTGATTCATTGACCTCCGTTCGCGTTTGCCGTGTTTCTTCCATTTGGAGCTCGGCTTCGACTTCGGACTGAATGTTTACACCGTCCTGCAACGGTGTCGTGTTGTCCACGTCAGTGAGAGAATATTCTCGCATTATCTTATCTGTTAAAGGACGACAAATCGTTGGTGTATTCGTCTGCACCTCAAGAGAGTAGATCCGATATGTCGTATTAAATTCCATCGTTCATAAATTATTCTCAATTTAGTCTAGAATGAATTATCATATCGACATGGATTTGTAACTTCCAAGGATGAACAGTGATAAACAATGGCTTTCTTAATTCAATCAAATATCCATATTAATTTTTTTTTAGAACTGGAAATCTTACGCTCTAGTCATTTGTGGTGCACATGCTTCTTTTGATTTTGATATAGATAATTTGCGTTCATTGAACAAAATTAGAAATAGATTGATTTGAAACTTTGTAGTCCCCATAGAGTCGAATATGATATTAAATGACAAATTTGAATATGATGTCTTAAAAAATATTGAAACATTTTGAAATGTCATCATGTTCTAACTAGGTACATAATTTCAAATATTTGAAACCCGTCTCATATAAATACACAAGTGAGCTAAATAAATTTTATGAAAACATGAATATAATTCTACCATTTGCGCCTAGATTGTTCAAATCTCTGCCCCACATTTAATATACTAAAAATATTGATTGATCAACCTATCACCAACCCATATTTAAAGTACTAAAAGTATAACTGGAAATTTCATGTTGCAGGAAGATGCAATAAACATAATCCTTGAAAACAAATCGCGGCCTAACTGGCTAACATTATTGAATAAAGGAACATGAGATATGGGGAATTGCAAGGCAATTAAAGCAGGAAAGGAGTTCTCAACATACTTGATTAGTTACTGCCACAAAATGATATTGAGGGATGAAACTTAATGTTGCAGGAAGATGCAACAAAATTGATCCTTAATGAGGAATCATGACCAGAGTATCTAACATTGTTTAAGCCAAGAAGCAATAAGAATTGGAAATATGTTTAAGGCAATTAAAGCAGGAGAGGAATTATCAACACAGATAACGGTTAGCTACTGTCAAAAAAGGATATTGAGGGATGAAACTTTGTCTGGAAGAAGATGAAATGGAAATGGTCAATAAGAACATATTATGGCCTAACTAGCAAACAATGACAATGTTAAACAAATGAGCATTAAGAAATGGGAAATTAAAGCAAGACAGGAATGATCAACATGGCTAAAATTTAGCTATTTCAGAGAATGATATCGAGGGATGAAACTTTATGTTTTTGGAAAATGCAATGGAAAGGATCCCTAAAAACAGATCGTGGTCTAATAGCTAACATTGTTAACCAAAGAAGCACCACAAAAAAAAAAAAGGAAATATATGCATGGCAGTTAAAGCAAGATAAGAATTATCAACATAGTTAACGCTTAGCTACTGCCAGACAAGGATATTGGGGGATGAAACTTCTTGTTGTCTTTAAAACAAAACATGGCCTAGCCAGCTAACATTGTCAAAGGATCATTGAGAAATGAAAATAAAAGCAATCCAATGAAAGCAGAGAGATGCAATTAACACTGCCATAAAAGGAGAATGCTGCGGGAAGATGCAATGAAGATTATCATTAAGAACAAATGGGGGCTTAACTAGCTAACATTGATAAACAAAGGAGCATTAAGAATAGGAAATAAATGCAAGGCAAGTGAAACGGGAAAGATAATATCAGAATCTCATTTAATTCTAATTGTAAAACTGAACATCCAAGGCATACATAGGCAATGAAGAAGGCCACTATTCAAATAACGATACACCCTTTTGATCTTCCACAAAGAAAATCAATAACTCTGTAAGCCAGAAGCACAATCGGGATCTTTAATTACTATATATAATCTGATGAAAAGATCAATTGTCAATTGCATCACATTGATAATTGCAAACATCAGTACAAGCCAGCCATTAAAGAGCATTAAACTCCGATTAGATTTGAAGTTAGAAAGAAACCGTTTAGATATGGTATTTGTTTATCTCAAGCTAAACTTTGCGGACTACGAACTCGGTCAAGATGGAATAAATATCTTCGGACAATTTATAACATCAATAATGTAGAATCGACGGCGTAGATCCTTCAATTGCCAAAAACCCATGATCCACATACCATTGAGGGCTAATTCATAGTTATAAAGCATATAAGGAAGAAACTAATATTCAAGAGAAAACAGACCCGCATTGTTAGTGAAATTGCTGGAAGGAGTTCGCTTCCAACGCTTACTATATCAGTGGTGAACCACATTTGACTTCGGATTGACGAGACTGCGTAGATTGGCCATAACTTCAACATAAACCCCAAGCTTTAAGGTCACAAGTGAGAGTTAGATTAGAATAGGTCGATAGAGGGCAATATATAACAAAATTAAGCACACAGAAGAGAAAAAAAACAAACCGACTCGATATCGTAAACGTTAATAGATCAAGAATCTGGTAGATCTTATTATTTCAAATCGGTTAAAATCAAGAAAAAAAAAAAAAGATGCACACAAGTCATCAACTACTACTACAAAAGGTATCATGTATTCCAGATTGATATTAATTTCACAAAGAAAAAGGTCGATTCACAAGTTGAAAATATTCCGTTCATCAACACTTGTACAATTCACCCCCCTAAGACTCCAATAACCGGATCAGGCGGAGAATCGGGTGTGAGATTGGTCGGGCTAGAAGCGAGGAACCACAAAGAAGACTTAGCAGCCAAAAGTTTTTTTCTCTGCAAGCAGAGGGGACCATACACCCTCCCAGCAAAGCAAGGAGAAGCATCAGCAATGTTCACCTGAAGCAGACCGGAGCCAATCGGCGCAGTAGAAGGCGATAGCGATGAGGAACGAGTGGAGTAGATCTGAGATACCAAATTAACCCGATTGAATCGGGCGATCATCCGCGAATTCCGGATTTGTGCTAACGCACCAGGCTTTAGGTACTTGTGAAACGTCTCGGAATGAGAGTTCCCGGATCTTCTGGATCTCCGATTCATGTCGCAGAGATGGAAGGAAGAGAGGGATGAGGACGATGGAAAATGGAGACGGGAGATTAGGGCTTTAATGAGTGGGGAGTGAGGAGTGGGCGGGAGAAGGAGAGGCGGGAAAGTGGTGGAGGGAAAATAAAATGGGAACAGAGAGAAAGAGAGGGATCATATTATTTTTGCGCTTTTGAATGACCGGCCAGTAAGGGGAGTTTTGTCGTTTCTGACCTAGTTACCATGTGAGCGTGACACGTGTCTTTGCTTCTCTTAGGGCCTTTCTCAAATTTGGTTTTCTTGCATGCGCATAAATTACTAAAGATGCCCCTGTAAATGGATGCTTATGCACTTTTCAACTTGGATTAATAATTATCCCATAAATCTTTAAATTTAAAAATAATAATAATAATGGATTTTTTTATTTTTTATTTTTACAAACTTCTTCTGATAGACATTAATTTTAATTATATATGATATAAACAAAATTACTAATTTAGAAAGTTATTAAATACAAAAATTAAATTTTAGAAAGGTATTTAAGAAGGTTTAGACGCTAAATAACTGCAACTCAAGAGTAAATAAGTAGTTTAATAGTGAACATGCAAAATTAAATCGTATAAAAGGATATTTTCTCGTAATTCTTTAAATTTGTATTTTATATGTTCACGAGCTTTAAAAATATAAATATTACATATTTCGTTCATAATAATGAATCCCATTAAATTGATAAATATTTAATAAAATTATTAAACTCGTGTTGTGTATAAGCGTATGTCTTATTAAGTAATCTTTTAAAACGAACAAACATATAAGACAAGAAGATCGTAGTCATATTAAACATTAACTAATATATTAAAATATAAAAAAATTATAAATTCATACTCATATATTCTTACGTACATAGTTCACGAGCTTACCCAATTTAATTTCTTGATGAAATAACACAATATTTAATTATTCGTGTGAAAAATATATAATTTCATTTTGCATTTTAATCCCTATGTCTCATTTTTTACTTTATTAAATTAAACTTTAATATGTGTTTGGTATCATTTTGCAATATATTTAATTTTGTGTCATTTGACGAGGGGGAGATACTAAAATATCGAAGCCCATACATAGGCCCACGTGGCGTGAGGAGAAGCCCAATTTGAAAGCCCTAAGCCGATTATTAGTCTAATCAAACGGCTATGATTAATTAATTAATTAATCAACACCGGAAGTTTAGCGGGATTTTTTTGTCGGAGACCCGCATGGCCTCCATATGATTGTTAATACAGAATAATGTTTCCAAATTAACGAATACAACTTACCAAAAATAAAACACTTTGAATTTTTAATCAAATTATAAAACACAGATAATTTTTTAAAAATATTTTTTAGTTTCTAAAAAGTAATTAATAAAACTAGAAATTGAAAAGCGAAAACAGTATTTATTTAACTTATTTTTAAAAAAATGTTTATGTAAAAAGTTTTTAACTATGTACTGTTATATTTAGAAAGTAAAGTGACAATATAATACGTGGCTCCAGTAGATATTTACAATTCCCCAATTTCACGGGAGAACCGTATCCCTCTCAATTACAGAAAATATCCCAATTTTTGCGAATTGACCGAGCCCTCCGCCCTAATATAACGGAAATTAAAAAGGAAACCTTTCCATGTGGTCATATTCATTTTCTTACGGTGTACCTCCAGCCAAACTCCGCCATCTCATCACAGGAAAAAAACAACAATAATAATAAATAAATAAACAAAAAGAGAAAAGTCTACCTTTACACACCAAGTGGACATTTCTATGGTCACCAAATTATTAATTCCATCTTAAATGCCACAATCATAGCACAAACTTATAAGACAGAACAGCACTGTAAATTAAAGCATTTTTATATGTTTACTTAATATTAAAAAAATTTTGAAATTATAATGTGTTTTTTTATATTTGAATTTGATAAGCTATAGAAATCGTAAATTTTTATTAAATTGGACACTAAACTTACATTATTATTACAAAATTTGTTAGTTTTAACCAAAAATTAATATAACAGATAAATTTGGGTAAAAAACTCGGACAATATACCCGTAAAAAAAAGATTGTTTTGAAGTTTTATAAATTTAATTAAAATTTCAAATTTAGTATAACATAGTTTCAATAAAGATCAAGATTGATCTTAATTCATTGTAACAAAAATAATGAAAATTGTGTAATCAATTTAAATAAATTTTGAAGTGTATAGATTCAATTAAAATGACGTTGAATTAAAATGAAATTAAATATTAAATAATCAACGCCCTAATAATACCGTCATCAAAACGAA